GTTTGCATGTGTCAAAACATTTGCTTTGACATTTTCAGTGTATCGTTTCAGGTTCATCCTGGAAAATGTAGTCCTGCTTTAAAGCCTAGCCTGTAGAAGAGATTGAGGGGAATGAGGCACCTGAACAACACCTCCCATGAATTACATCATCAGCTCAGGTGGACATGCATTAATGTTGAACTGACCTGAAATGAAACATTTCAACTTGGTTTGACAAACCAGAATGTTTTGATTTGTCTCACCTTGATAGACTATTGACAGAAAATTGAAAATTTTGTGGAAAAATCAAAATTTTCTCATGGAAAATTGGGATTTTGTGGAAACTTTAGTTTCCCTTGAAAAAACTTTTAGAAGGAGAATCCCAACCAGCTCTACAATGACTGGAGAACTAGTGAAATTATGGCATCATAAGATCAGAGTGCAAAAACCAGGGCCGGCTCCAGGGTTTTTGCTGCCCCAAGCGGCGCCAAAAACAAACAAACAAACAAAAAAAAGTCGCGATCTGCGGCGGCAATTCGGCAGGAGGTCCTTCGCTCCGAGCGGGAGTGAGGGACAGGCCGCTGAATTGCCGCCAAATAGCTGGACGTGCTGCCCCTCTCCGGAGTGGCCGCCCCAAGCACCTGCTTGGCAAAGCTGGTGCCTGGAGCCGGCTCTGGCAAAAACTAAGCATTTTAGAAGGGAAGAGATTTTTAGTCGGACTGTTTACAACTCTGTATTTTTAACACTTTCATAACTTCAGTGACTTAACATTCTGGATAAAAGATGATTTTGTTAAAGTTTCTACATCCTCAACCCCTTCAGTTGAGTGTTAGGGTCTCATCTTGCACCGTTAAAGTTGGTGAGAGTTTTAGTTATAGTAAACATGCTCTAAAACCTCAAGAAACCCTCTAGCAAAAGCAGGGAATATGAAATTTGACATTCTTGGTACTTCTAATGTTTAAGAAAAATAAGCAGATTTCCCCCCCTCCTTTTTGGAAAGTAAAGGAGAGGGCAGGGAGCCTTTCAGAACTTTCTGTGTATTACAAAGAAACAAAAAAGAGCACAAGTCTAATTAAAAAAAAAATCATTGCCAAGCACCTGTAAGTGACAAGAACATTCCCTTATCTGCCAAATAAGACTGTGTGTTAAGTGCCTTTGGCTTTACCTTAGAACTATCACTCTCTCTACCAGTGCTTATTAGAGAAAAAATGTGCTATGATGGATCCTTACCTCTTCATTTTACACCTAATAGAACATTGAGAAGGAAGTCCTGCTTGCCTTTTGGTTACTCTATCGATCATTAAGTGCTATAAGAGAAAGAGTACTACACAGAGGACCTGGCACGTTACCTATGACAACCGTTCAGTACATCAAAAGTCTGTTTACAGTATCACCTCATTAGTTTCATATCTTCATATTATGCAATGATAATAGCATTGTCTAGGTTAGGCATTCCTGGTTAGGGTCTCTCAATTCCTCTTACTGGGCACACTCTGCTATGGAATAACCTCTCCTTTGACCAGTATTGTATAGATTGTTGTGGGTTTATCTATTAATCTCCAATTTGATTTTTTTTTAAGGGGGAACTCTGTGATGGTATAAAGTGTGATTTAGAATATAGGATGGAGGAATGTTGAATTTACTTGAGGTTCCTAGAAAAAGCTTAACAAGTCCTTTCAGATTCCCTCAAACTGAATTAATTATGTTTTTGTATCTCATGTCTTTGTCACATTGTTCTCCTGGAAAAAAAATCTGTGACCATTAAAATGGTCTCATTCGGGTACCTGTGATGCAAAGTTATAAACTAAAAATATTTTACATTAAAACAGAACAGATTGCTTATGGTAACTCTTGCATAATGCAGGGGTACAATGAAGAATTGCAGTTCAAATTACTTTTCGGGTCTGTTCTATTTTCTTAGTTTTTAAAGTAGACAATTGCAAAGTATAATTACAGCAAGTTCATTTGCATTCATATTACAATCTGGTGAGCAATTACATTCTTTTATATTTAAAAAAATATTGTAAGGAAGTGTGACTTGCATCAATAAATTTCAGCAATGAGAATAGAATTAACTACTCTTATCCAAAGTGTTCTTATTATTGTTACTGAGGCCTGGTCTATGCTACATGGTTAGGTCAACATAAGCTTCCTTGCGTTGACCTAGCTGTGAAAGTGTCTTCAGTTTTTTTGGTTCTTGCTGATGTAAGTGCCTCTCTGCACTGATTTTAGTAACACCACCTTGCCGAATGGCATAGAGTCATGGTTGATGTCATTAGATCAACACTATGTCAGTGTAGACACTGTGTTGATTACGTTGCCTGTTACTGGCTTTCAAGAGCTCTCCCACAATGACCCAAACTGACAATACAATCAATACAAGTGTGTCGGTGATGCACGTCCTCACCAGAAACAAGAAGCCAAGTGTGCGCGCACACAAGCAATTTAATAACTGCGGTGGCTGTATGTCGATGTAAATTAGGTTGACATAATTTTGTAATGTAGACATGGCCTCAACATGTAGCATCTTTCCTGTGCATAGAAAGACTTGTGACAGGCTGGCTACATGGCAGATACAACTTCCTGATCAGTGTGTAAGGGCAAGCTTCATGTGGGGCATCTTGTTCACTATTGCATTGACTAATCTGAAGCGTGCATTTTGAGGAATCTAGAATCCACAACTGTTTTCTTATATTTCAATACCTTTTATGAAAAATAATCCTAGTCAAATACAGAGGGTGCAATACATGGTCCCAAGAAGTTACCAGAAATGTGAATTTTAGTTGCTGTCTTTGGACTGTTTATGCATTTCTTCTGAAGGCGAAATCCTCACTGAAGTGAAGACTTATTGCTACTAGATACCATCACAGACAAAGGTCTGTATATGCTCCCTGAGGCACCATTGATAGTCCCAGCTGTAATTTCTCCAGTAAATGGAACTGGAAAGTAGCTTTGCGGTAAAAGTAGATTGTGAGAATACAAGTTTTTGGATGGAAACTCTGACAACTGGGATTTGGCTTTTGAAAAGTATTGTAATTATCAAATACATTACAAGGGTTATTGGACTATTATAACAGTTATTTTAAAAATATAACAGACTGGATACTGCAGTGATGGGTGCTATAGAAAAATATATATATATAGTATCAGCCATAATGCAAGAGGTTTGAAATAGTGAGTTTCACATAATTTAATGCAGGGGGCCAACCTGAGCCTGAGAAGGAGCCAGAATTTACCAATGTACATTGCCAAAGAGCCACAGTAATATATCAGGAGCCCCCATCAGCTCTCCTCCCAGCACCTCCCACCTACCGGCAGCCCTGCCGATCAGTGCCTTTCCCTCCCTCTCCACACCTCCCGATCAGCTGTTTCCTGGCATGCAGGAGGCTCTGGGGTGTAGGGGGGAGGAGCGAGGGCATGGCAGTTGTCATATTTGCCTCAGAAAAGACTATTTCACTAGTGGGAGAAGTATATATGTTTTCCCTATGTGTATTTTTGATGTTTGCTAATTTGGTGGTGTGTTATAGGATCTTTTAAGATGAACGGGGCTATAAAAGTAAGATATTGTTTATAATTTTGAATCTGATTAGTTATTCTGTTAGGGGAATTTCCCCATTGACTTCAATGGAAGAAAGATCCAAACCTTTGTGACTCAGAATTGTTTTTCCTTTTGCAATTTACCTGGTTAGCTGTGGTCGATCTCCTTTTTTTGTATTGATTGGAGATAAATCTGGTAAAGGAACTAACCTCCGGAATGTACTTCTCTGTATGTAAATCTTTTCAGGAAGTGCATGACAGCCTCTGTTTTGTATGGTTCTACGTTTGTACAGAAGCTGTTATCACAGAATAAGTTTAATGGATCGTGAATTGTGTGTTGAAAGGAGAGTCTCTCTAGGACTCCTGATCTGCTTGCAGTAGACCTATGGGCTCGGCAGCAAGTGCATTAGGCTAAATATGCTTACCCCATTGACTCTGAAGGTAACAGCCCTCAATGCCTCATTAAATTTTCATGGGTGACTGAGAGAAGCCAGGAGGAAAAAAACACCCCATTAGCAGTAGCTATTACGGGGTCTTCTGAAAAGCAGGCCCTGTGTGGCGGCAGCAACACCACACAGCTTTCCAAGAAACCTGTTTCTTGTCGGACGTTTGCAAGGCGAGGCCCTACATTGGCTGTTTGGTTCAGATTTAGCCTCCCCCCGAAACGAGTGGTGAGAAATGGCTGCTGCACTGGGAAGAAGCGTGCAAAAGGCTCCCCCTTGTTGTTAGGGTGACTCGACAGCAAGTGTGAAAAATCGGGGCGGGGGTGTGGGTGTATGGGGGGGGGGGGGTGTAATAGGAGCCTATATAAGAAAGACCCAAAAATCGGGACTGTCCCTATAAAATCGGGACATCTGGTCCCCCTCCTTGTTGCTGAATGCTTAGGACCCCTAAACTGCGTGGGGGAGTATCCTGCGCTGGCCCAGGGCTGGATTAGCTGCCCTGCTTGGCTCTTGCATCGCTTAGCCCTGTCCTGGCCGTGCAGTGCCCACGTATGGACAACAGACAGCTGGTGGCTACCCCCTTGGCCCCTGGCACCGCCCTGTATCCCCGCCCGGATGGGATCGCCTGGGACGCGGGTGGCAAGACGAGAGGCAGGTGTGGGTGGGAAACACCCGCGCGTGGGGTAGGGCCCAGTGTGGCTGTGGAAATGTCCGTGCTCCTGGAGGGGGCAGGTCCTGCCGCGTGTCCTCTTGGCCCGGGGGACGCGGGAGAGCACGGGGGGGAGAGGAGGGTGAGACAGTCTGTGAGCAGCGATGCTTCCCTTCCCGCCAGGGAGACTGAGAGGGGTGGGAGGGAGCCGCTCTGCGCACCCCCCCCCCTCTGGAGAGGAGGCGGCGACCCGGGATCATCTCCTCTCCAGCCCCCTGCTCCTGCCTCTGGGCTCGGCTGCGCGCGGACGGGGGTCTGGGGGGGCAGGCACCCGGGGAAGCGGCTCTCCCGGGGTGGCCGCGCCACGTGCGCGGTAAGGAGCCAGAGCCGCTGCCGCGCGCGCCATGGGGAGCAGAGGGACGCCGGGCGCCGAGGTTTGCCGCGGCAGGTTAGTGCTGCGAGAGTCTCTCTCCCCAGGCAGACGGGGGCTGGCGGCGGCGGTTGTTTTGGGGCGGGGGGGGGATTGGATGAGACGCTTGTGCGCGCAGTCTGTGTGTGTGCCCGGAGAAGTGCACAGCAGCTGGGGCTTCTCCTGGGTGGCAACAAGAAGTGCAGCGTCTTCACTGCGGGAATAACAACTCCGGGCTCTCCCTGTCTATTGCAGTGTCTCTGTCTGGGGACGGGGGTGGGACTTTGGGAACGGGACGGACCGGGGGGGGGGGGGGGGGGGGGGTGGCCGGGATTTGGCCGGGGGGGGGGGGGGGGGGGGCGGCCGCGTGGGGTGGGGGGGGGGGGGGGGGGGCAGGGGGGGGGGGTGCCTCCTTGTTGCTCCCCTGAAGAGTTGGCTGGTTGCCCCCGTGGAAGGAGGGCGGGCGGCCCCAGGCACTGCCTCCTTGGTGAGTGGGGAGGTCAGGTCGCCGCTGCGTGCAGGAGAAGGGATGTGGGACAGAGGGCACCCTATAGCTGCTGGAGAGGGTGGTGGGGTGGGCAGGAGTGCCTTTCTAGCGCCCCACTTCCCCCCTCATTACAGGGCAACTCGCAATTCCTCCTTCTCCAGCCTTTGGCAGCAGTTTTTACCCATTCGCATCTGCACGTTGCAACCCCCCTTTGCTCCCTCCCCTCCCCGTCCGCACCCGAACAAGCGGAATTTTCTGTCCCGGCTTTTAAGCGATCCGTGGAAACCCCCAAGATTCGGTCTGAAGTCTCGTGTCCCCAACCAAACCCACAGCAACGCCAGCCTCACCCCAGAACACACCAGCCCCTGGAGTCCAAGCAGAGAGGAAAGCCAACAACAAACGTGACCTGGTTGAGTGATTATTTTGTTTTGCCTTGAGGATCCCCGGGCTCCTGACGAAGCGCTGCGGATGGGGGGAAGCTGAGTGTGTGACCGAGCCATCATTCCCATGGTTCATTTAGATCTCCACGCACAGCCATGTTATTGTGACAGCCCCGCACCAAGACGCCCCTTGTCTTGCGTTTGCTGTTACGCACCGTTATGTTGTTGGCGTTTGGGGGTTCCCGGGGGCTGTTGGTGAGGGAATTGCCAATCCCACGTTCAGAGCTTTGTTTCTGATTTTGAATAGCGCTTTTGCAAACATCCCCACGCTCCCACCCCCCAGAAACCCTAAAAGTACACATTGAAGTGAGCCGCATTGTTAGTGTCTGCTCCAGTTCCACGGGGCTTGCAGCCCGTCTATACACTGATGGCTGGTCGGAGATGATCTTACACCTGCAATCTGTCTTTTTGATGATGCGCCTCCTGAATGTATTGCTGCTGTCTACGGTAGTGTTAAATAAGGAGCGCGTTAGCTGAGGGCGCATTTTAAAAGCACTCATCTGTGTATTTGTTTTCTTTCTCGGAAGATGTATTGTGAGTTGAAAACCAACCGCAAACGGGATTGTCTGATGGAAATTTATTGTGGAAATATTTAGAACCTAAGGGAGGAGAAGTGGAAATGCCGACTTCACTGAGTTGCTTAAATATCGATGGTTCTGTGTAATAAGGCTATCCCCCGGAGCCTGGATCCCCTGGCAGTCCATAACATTATGGTTAAAACTAAGCTCCCTGATTTAAAGCTAGCCCTCTCCTAAGGGCCTGATTCTGCAATTGGACTATACACCTGTGTAAAAGTTACTCAGGAGTAAGGGGTCAAAATGTTCATGTTGAAAGTTTGCACACCTACTAATGGCTCTCTGCTAATGCATAACATTGCAAACCTCCCCTATTCTCATTATTAGTGTCCTTTTTAAAAATTACAGACAAGATGAGGGATTCCAGATTCCTTGCAGTTCCAACAATGCACAGTCGAGGAGCTGGGTTTAAAAAAAAAAAAAAGTGAAAATTGGCTTTAATAGAGATGTTCCTTAAATGGAATTGGATAAAAATTTTCATAGTAAGACCTAATAAGAACTGTGGGAGGAAGGCCATTTGGTCTTCAGAGAGGTTTTAATATATGCCCTTAAGTGAATTAGTGTTCAAAATACCGTGATCGCAAGCTCTTAACTACAGTAGGGTGTTCCTATTGGCTTGATTCAGGTTTGGAATGCATTAGGTTGTGAAAGAAATCACAATGTGAATGTTTGGGGAAGCATCTCAGGGAGATTCATTGGAACATTTCTGAGAGTGTTCAGTCTTTGGGGCAGGAGTAATTGTTTTTTGATCTGTTTGTAGACCATCTAGCACAATGGAGTCCTGATCCATGACTGGAGCCCCTAAGCGCCACCACAATTTAAATAATAATAATAAAATTATGGGAGAGGGTAGTGAACAATCAAGTACAAGAATATTTTGTTTTATTGTTTTTTATTAATCCTGGTACTTGTAGATCACTGTTTAGCTTTAGTTTCACTGTAAAGTTGTGTTCTGTTCATTTCAACACAATAAACTAAACTTTAGATTCTTTACCAAAATAGTTTTAAAAGCCAAATTCTTGATTTTTCTTCCGCTTGCTTAAATTTTGAATACTCAACTAAAACACTTAATCACCTTTATTGTTTTCAACTACTCACACAGAAAAAACCTTATTGTTGATGAGACTCATTTCTGAAGCTGTTTCACGGTATGTTTCCATTGCAAGACTCACAATTATATGAAATGATTGAAGAAAATATTGTATCGCTTATTGTTTTTCTTTTTCTTGCTGCTATACTCACTTAAGCAAAAAGGAAATTATTGCTCAACATTGGATTGATATTCATTCAGATATGTACATTTTTTTTGAAGAGGCCCTTATGAATTTTTTTGTTGTTGAGCGGTCTAAATGCAGTTGATATCTAAAATAGAAATTAAAACCGAGAGCTGAATGGCACATTTTCAGACTTCTGAAGTCAAACTGCAGGTGAAATTAGACTAGTTTACACAGTTGTCATTAATTTCTCTAATTACATGCATTACACACTTGCCTTAAATATACTGGATTTTTTCCCCCAACTATTCTTTTTTTCTCACAGTGCATTTAATCACCATGGCATATGAGTTCAAAACTTATTGTCCCCAGTGGTATAGAAAGAATTTAGTCTGTGGACTGTACATTGGCACTGATCTCCCTTTAACAGCCCCTCAAGATATGGATGGAAGACAGCCACCCTCATGTCTCCTGGTAGGATCTGCCTTCTGGACATTAGTGCTTGCACACATCAGTGGTTTCATCTTACGAGGATTGAAATTGATTTTCTTTTTTTAGCTCAGCCTGTGAAAGATCCAGTGTGTGCTCCTTGACCTGTGGCCCCACATGATGAAGTGATACCAACAGTCAAGGATGTTGACTTGAGGCAGCTACAGCGCATCAAAAGTAGTAGCATCAGATTGAGCAGGTTGTGCTGAGGCAGTTAGGGCTAGAGCCACAAAGGGGATTTGGGCTTTGTATTGCAGCACCTATCTGAAGGTGCCCTGCTGCCTAGTGGATTTCCCAGCCCTGAGTTAGAAGCCCAGGTGCCCTCTTCAATGCTAGGGGAGAGTTAGGTGTCTAAGAATGGGATTTGCAAAAGCCAGCACGCTGAGCAGGGAGCTGTCTAAACTAGCCAATTGGAAATGCTGAGAAGAGGGCTGTAGCCTAAGCCCCAGCCCTCCAAAGAAATTAGCGGCCTAATTCTGGACTCGAGGGATGCCTAGCCAGGAACCCCCTGCTGGAGTTAAACACCTAAACCCAGTCAACCCTTTCTCAAGAAAACCAGTGGTTGTGCCCCCATTATATCCGAGAGCCATGTGGTTAGACCATTCACCTGGGATGTGGGAGATTCGGGTTCAAATTCCCACCCTGTCTGATTCAGAGCAGGTACTTGGACCCCAGCCTCCCACCTCCCTGCCCTACCTACTGGATGATAGGGTATTCTGCGGGGGTGGGGAGAGGAAGCTGGGTGTTTGTCAGTCTCTGGGGTTGAAGCTTTGTATGAAATATTTAAATAGTCATTGGGCCATAGAGTGAGTGAATGACTCTCTTGCCTCATGGTTACAGCAGTCTCTTGGGAGCCCCAGGTCTCAGTCTCTGTGCCAGTGAATACGGGTAGGTAAATGTGTAGTTTGAGGATTCTGCTGGAGGATTTAGGAGGCTTTGTGCATGACCACCAAAAGAAATTAGGTGCTTTAGGAAATGCAGGCCCCTAGGGTATTTAGGTGTCCGCAAGGTTAGGTGGCAGCTGAGCAGGGGTTCTGAGGATCAAAATTTTGGATTTAGGCACTTAAAGTTAAGCATTTAAATCCCATTGTGGATTTCACTATCTGTCTACTTAACACTGTGAGCAAGCCACAATGCAGGTACAGTCAAGAAGGTACAGGAGGCAGATTCTTTAGGGTCAAGGGCCAGCAGTTATGGAATACTCTGGCCTTTCTTGTTCATTAGAACACATCCTTGGCAACTTTTGATTAGATTTCCCTAGGCCTCTCCTGAACTTACTTGGGCAAACTGTTCATTTAAAAGTACATCAGCTTTAGTTGTTCTTTTAAGCTGCCAAGAGGTCATTGGACACGTGTGTCTAAATAACCATTTATTTATAACATGCTTTTTACTGTCCACCATGTACTTGCTGATGCTGTTTTTAGACTATCATCAGGTCCAGCCCCATAATCTCACTCATGCAAAACACATGGCAACCATATTGCCATCCTTAGGAGATCAAAAATCATGAGCTGGATTCCCTCTCCCCCCTCTCCCCCCCCCCCAAAAAAAACAAGATTTAAAAAAAAAATCGTATTGCGTTTTTGGTTTCTTTTGATTTTTGAACTCTGCCCATCCCCTGCATATGACAATTGGTGTTTACCACTCTGCCAGATTTATTAAGTAAGGTGATTCTGGCCCCCATTACAGGAGCTCTCATCCCCACATCTGCCCATCCCCTGCTCAGCAATTAATTTTGTCACCCTGTCTCTCCATGAGTTCTGTCCCTTTCTGGTGGCCCCCTCAGTTCAGCTCACCCACCCCCTTCAGCCCCATGCCCTTCAGTTCAATTTCC